GAGCGCAGTGGGCCCTCTTGGTCACGTGCTGCTCCGGGGGCCGTGGTGTCCACGAGAGCCCTTTCTCAGCTCCGGCCGAGGTCCCGGCTGCCTCCCCACCTGGATGAGCGGAGCCTCGCCGCCCGGATTCATCCGGACTCTGTGGGGCTGCCCTCGGAGACGCCTCCAAAGCGGGGCCGTGTGCTGCTGGCCAGGACACCGCTCGCCCATGAGCTCATCGGGCTGGTCCCGCACAGCCCACGCTGGCCGTGGGTCGCTGCCCGGGCCCCGTCTGGAGTGCTCACGAGCGGCCCGGATCCCGGCCAGCCGAGGGAGCGCCTCGCTCCACCTGCACCTCCCAGCCACGGTGGTCTGCGTCCGGGACCCTCCTCGGCGTTCCTCCCCGAGGAAAGCGAGGGAGCGGCGGCGTGGCGGAGGGCCTTCTTCTGCGTTGCCCCCAGTGACGGAATTCATTTCCGCTTGAGAGCCCGTTGCCATCCTTTCGGTGCCAGCCAAAGATGTTCCTGTTGTGCAGGCACTTTGGTGGGCGAATCTGTTGGCTTTGTGATTTTAATGGATTGTTTTTAAGCTTTTCATTGCTATTAATTGTTGCTGCAGTTTATATTTTATGGATTAATTATGTATGATTATTTTTGTTTTATTTGTTGCTTTTAATTGGTTTAATACGTTGCATTCTGCTCTCAGTTAATTTCATTTCAATTTATTAATTTTATTAATTCTAACTGTTTATTTATAATTGTTGTTTAGTATAGATTCTATTGTTATTAGGTTTATTGCATTGCTGGTTTTATTGTATTGTTCCATTGATTGTATTGTAAGCTGTCCAGAGAGCCTTAGGGAAAATGGGGCGGCATATAAATCAGATAAATCAAATAAATAAACCCCTGTGGTGGAGATAAGCTAGGACCTTGACTGATAGCAGCAGGGGCATTTGCAAGACTGCTGACCACGCCAGAGGCAAAACCAAGCACAGAAGAAAGAGAAGTCAGCCCAGCGTGTCAGGGGTTTGGGACCTCAGGTCCATGGGCCGCATCTGGATTGAGGCCCGCAAGAGCTCTGAAAGGAATCTGGTCCTTGGCCGGAAGAGGCACAACGCCCCTGCGGTGCCGGCTGAGCCTCGGTGCCGCCACCGTCCGCCGCCCTGCAGGGGCTGCTCTTGCACAGCGCCCTCGGCTTACAGCCCCCTCCTCTCTCTCCCCCCCCCCCCCCCCGCCTTGGCTGCCGCCTTTCTCTGTGTAGATCAAGCATCTCCTGAAGGAAGACTCTGACGAGGCCGAGCTGGTCCACTTTCTCAGCAGTCATCCTCACGAGGAAGGAGTTCACCCCGTGGAGGTGGAGAAGATCGAGCAGGACGGCACCGCCACCCCGGTGGAGCCGGAGATGTTCGCCAGCGCCGTGCTCAGACCCATCCCTGACGCTGCCGCCGAGGAGGGGGGGCTGAAGGCCCCCCACCGCCCGCGGCCCCTGGACCTGAAGCAGCAGCAGCAGCAGCAGCACGTGGCTGCAGCAGCCCCCCTGAGCCCCTCGCGGCCACGAAGCCCCTGGGGCAGGCTGGACCCCTACGAGTCCGACGAGGTGCGGCGCCCCGGCCGGCTTGGCTCGGCTCGGCTCGGGCAGGGCTGGGCGGTGGGTCCCTGGACTCCTAAGGACGGGCTGTGCGCTCGGCGACGCGTGCGCACGGCTCGTGCCCGTGGGGAGGTTGGCCAGGCGACGCGTGTGGTCCAAGGGCCGAGGCCACACATGCCTGGACTGGCGGCTGGGGCTCCGCAGGCACCCCGCGCTCTGCTCAGCTGCGCGGGGCGCTGAGCGAATGCTTATCTCTCCGGGCACTGCACCTGTGTCTCGCAAGGATCCCTGCCCTGCCGCGGTCTCTCCCCTCCTCTTTCTGCAAGGGAGTTCGTGACTGGCTTGAGGCCACTCAGTCAGCTCCGTACCTGGCTGGGACTTGAGCTCCGTACCTGGCTGGGACTTGAGCTCCGTACCTGGCTGGGACTTTTGAGCTCACTCCGACCTCCGTGCCACACCAGCTCGGACCACAGCAGCCCCCTGCCAGCTTTCAAAGCTCCCCTTGGAGCTGTGCAAAATTCCCTGGCAGGCATGCAGGCCGTGCCCAGGGGCCCAGTTCGGGATGGGCTTGCCTTCCTTGAAGCCAAGTGACTGCTAAAAGCGGCCGGTTGGTTACCCCCCCCCCCCCCCCCCGGCAGTGAAAAGTGGCTGAGCATATGGGCAGGAGAACTTCCCAACAGGTGGTGCTGTGGCTTTTCTGCTTTCCTGTCTTGGAAGCGGTGGCTTTTCTGCTCTGTTTTGGCTTGGGTCATGCAAGCACTGTTGGCGTTTGCTACCGCCTGTGCTGCAGGGTGGACTGTAAACGGGAAGGAGAAAGAAAGAAAGAAAATTTGCAAAGCATCTGAAGGGACAGCTTTTGCAGAGCCTTGCACTGAATGGCCTGGCACCCTGAAAGTCTGTAAACTTCCAAACCCCCACCTCCCTCCCTCCCTCCCTCCCTCTCTCTCTCTCTCTCTCTCTCTCAGGATGATAGACAGTATGTTGGGTTTGCAACGCTCCCAAACCAGGTCCATCGGAAGTCTGTTAAGAAAGGATTTGACTTCACCCTCATGGTTGCAGGTACCAGGACAGGGCTCAGGTACTGGGGTGGGGAAAGGTTCCCATTTCTTTTCTTTTGGCACACATGAAGGTCGCAGGTTAATTCAGGTTAATCCAGCCATCCAGTTTCTAGCCCTTTACCGGTTCTTCCTTAGGCGGTGGGTCACTTAGTCAGTGATAGCAGCTGCTCGCTCATCCACATTTTGCTGTGCTGCTTGAGATTGCTAGAGAGGGGTTGATCATGCAGTCTCTTTTTCCCTCCCTCCCTCCCTCCCTCCTGCTGCCTGCCTCGCTCAGGAGAGTCTGGACTGGGGAAATCCACCCTGGTGAACAGCCTCTTTCTGACGGATCTGTACAAGGATCGCAAATTCCTGAATGCAGAAGGTAAGGCCTGAGCCACACGCTTGCCCTTGCAAAGGGCCAAGGCAGCCCGTGCTTTTTCGGCAGCAAAGTCCATGGTCTGCTGCAAGGCATTTTTGGAGCCCTTGAAAGTCTCTGCCTGGCTGTGGGCAGAGGACCTGGGAAAAGGAGCTCTCTGAATTTCTCCAGCAGAAGGAGAAAGCATCTCACCCTTCTCTCAGGCAGGCCTCACCGTTGTCAGGAAGGGCTCACCTGCCTCCCTGCCTGCCTGCCTGCCCTCATTTCTCCTGAGTATTTGGGGCCGTGGAGCTTGCGCTGCCACTCCGAGTCGCAGCCGCATTGGCCGTGGGGCTGCCCAGCCCCGGCCCCCTTCCTCCCAGGCGGCAGTGGGTGTCCAGCGCGGGGGAATGCTGGGAGTCATCTTCCCCCCATGAAGGAGGGCCCCCGGCTTACTTTCTCGACATGGTTCTGTTACATCCTGCACTTATTTGGGGGGCTTCCTTCGCTTGACGCCTCTCCCGGCTGCCGGTAATCCAAAAAAGGCCCCTGTGAGTCGACTTGCTTGCCCTCCTGGGCTTTCACTGGAGGAGGGTGGGAGCCGGGGGGGGGGGGGGGGGGCTGCGGTCCGCTCGTGCACACGCCTCGGAAGCAGGGCAAGGAGCACGGAAGGAGGGCGCGTTGCCCAGGGGGGCTCGGCGGCCCTCTCTTGGACTGCCCTGCTTGCCAATGCTATGCGGCCGCCCTCGCTGGGGAAGGGGCTCTGCTGGGTGTGGAAGGCGTGAGCAAGGAAAGATGCTGTGCCAGGCCCACTGCCCGCTTTCTTGGCCCGTGCCCCCCCCCCCCCGTGTCTAGAACGGATCCTGCAGACGGTGGAGATCACCAAGCACGTTGTGGACATTGAGGAGAAAGGCGTGAAGCTCCGCCTGACCATCGTGGACACGCCTGGCTTTGGGGACGCCGTGAACAACACGGAATGGTACGAGTGCGCGGTCCAGCCGGGATCTCTCCCCTGCGCTTGCCGACTCCCTCCTTTGCCGCCCCGGCCCGGCCCAGCAGGGAGCTGGGCTGAGGTGTGGTCCACAAGGACACAAGGACACAAGCAGAGCCTTCCTTGCAGAAAGCGCGCAGGGCCGGCCGGCCCACCTGTGGGAGCGCGTGGGTGGTTTGTGCGTGCACGAGCCTCCAGGACTCGCTTGACCTCCTTTCCTGCCAGGTAGCCTCTGCAGAGAGGAAGTGGGCCGGGAACCAGGGAGCCCAGCCGGGGAAAGCCAGTGGATTCCCCAAACCCCCTGAACCCGGATTCCCTGCATGTTGCTACCAAACAGTCTGCCCTGCCTTTAGGTCACCTTCCGAGCCTCCTGCTGGGTCCCTGCACCAAGGGATGCTGGGTGGGTGGCCGCAAGGGACAGGGCCTTCGCTGTGGTGGCCTCCCCATTTTCGGAAGGCCCTCTCCCAGGAGGCCTGCCTGGTGCCTACAGCTTTTGTTTCTTCAGCCGCAGGTGAAAGCATCTATTCCCCAAGACATTTTAGGGAACTGCAATAGACATAAAAAGGGTCCTACAATTCTCAGCGTTCTTCATGCTGAGAATTGTGGGACTTCTTATGCCTAAGACGTGTAGGATGACACCCTTAGTATTTAGATTGCCTGGCCTGTTATGCCGTGTTGTACTGACTTCTGTTCTGCCAAGTACTCTGCTATTTCTGCCATTTGTAATCTCCCCGGAGAACCTTTGCTACGGGGCTGATAAAAAGAAATACAGTCGTCAGTAATTAAAAAATAAAAGGCAGGCGAGCATGAGGTGCAGGAGCTTTGTGGCTGAGCAGTGGGAACTGGGGAAGGAGCCCCCCTGGCCCTGCCGCCGGGCTGAGCTGCCTCCGGACGATGCCAAGGCCGGGATGAAAACGGTCCCCGGCGACACGGCCGGCCGGCTGCAGGGCAGGCAAGTCGCCTGCCCCAGCTCGCTTGGGCTGTGGGGGTGGAGGCGCTGGCCCAGGGGTGCCCTCCAGCCCTGGAGGCGCAGCAGACCTTGTCCTCCCGCGGCTGAGAGAGTTGCCCTGCGCCTCGCGTCGCGTCGCGTCGCGTCGCGTTGCCACCGGAGCGATCTTGCCGAAGGAACTGCCAGCCCAAGACCCGGTCGAGGAGGGCCCCGGGCCCCTGCCTGGCTGGCGGAGGGGCCAGCTTGGTCTCCCACCGCTTTCCTGGGGAGGCCCTGGCGGGCGGGCACTGCCAGCCTGTGTGGGCAGTCCTGGCCTGGTGGGACCCAGCGGCCAGGACTACCCACGCAGCTGTAAGCTCGGAGTCCCCACACAGACCCTGGAGAGCCCGGGAGGGGAGAACGCCTTTGCCAGCAGCAGGAAGGTGCCCGACCGGCATCAGGCCGGCAGCTTGGCCGTGGGAGCGTGGGGAATGCGGGGCCGGGGGCTGGCTCCCTCGGGGCGGCGGCGTTCCTCTCTGGCTTGCATTAGAGGCAAGGCCCAGGCACAGCGCGAGTTGGAAGGGCCTGCTGGGCCAGCCAGTCTGAGCCCGGCTCCCACCGGTTCCACTCGTGCTTGTCCAAGCTTTCCTTGAGCACCCTCCCTGATGGGGCCCCGCCACCTCCTGCAGACGCCCAGCCCGCATCCCAGGGGCCCTGACCCTCCAGAGGGACTTCCCGGCACCCAGCCTTGAACCAATTAAAGAAAGAACGGGACAGCGCCAGGCAGAAGGGGTCTCCCGGGCCGCCTAGTCGGACCCCCGGCTCCAAAGCAAGACGGTGCTCGTGCCCAACAGGCTGGGACCGCCGGGCAGGGGAGCGTCTGGGTCGGTCCTCGGCCAAGGCCCACCGTGCTTCTCCGGGCAGCCCCCGAGCCCCTTGCCTGGGTGGCGGAGGGCGTGCCAGGTGCCACCTGCTCCTTGTCCCTCCCCAGCTGGAGACCGGTGGCCGACTACATCGACCAGCAGTTTGAGCAGTACTTCCGGGACGAGAGTGGCCTCAACCGGAAGAACATCCAGGACAACCGCCTGCACTGCTGCCTCTACTTCATTTCGCCCTTCGGCCATGGGTACGGCCCCTGCCCGGCGTGGGTGCAGAAGCTCCTGCGCGTCTGGGCAAGGGAGGGCTGCCCAGGCCGGCTGTTGCGGCACTTGCAGGCCCCGACGGCCCCGCAGAGGGACAAGCGCTTCCAGCACGCTCGGCCGTCATGGCATCCTGCCAGGGGTCCTGGGATGGGGGGAGAGATCCCCCTGGGTCCTTCTGGTGCTCATCAGGAGACCTTTGGTTTTCCTCTGGCGTGGAGCCTCTTTCATCCTGAGGGCTGAGCGCCATTTTGGAGACTTGGGGGGGGGGCACATTGCATGGCGGGGCAGGAGGGGAGGGGCCGGTGTGCCCAGCTGGCTTGCTGCCAGTCTTGCTGCATTTCAAGGCCGGGAGATCACCAAAGAGTGGTGGTTGGGAGAAAAGCGGCGGAGGTGGGGAAGGGCTGTGGCTGCCCCCAGAACCCCGCTTTGGACCCTTCTTTGACAGGCTGCGGCCCCTGGACGTCGAGTTCATGAAGGCCGTCCACCAGCGCGTGAATATCGTTCCCGTCTTGGCTAAAGCAGACACGCTGATGCCCTGTGAGGTGGATCGGATGAAAACCAAGGTGTGAGCACGTGCGCATGAGCCCCACACGCGTGGCGGGGGGCTGCGGGCCACTCGGCTGTTCCAGTTTGCCCTGGCTGCATCCCGGCCTCCTTCAGCCTCGTGCCCTCCAGGTGTGTGGGGCCGCAGCTGGAGGGCTCCGCGTCAGGAGGCCATTTGGACCTGAGCCGGGCAGGATCATGGTTGCCCCAGTGGGTGGGAAATCATCCGCCCTTGGAGGTAGAATGCTGCTGTTTGGGGGGCTCTCTGGAGCCCTCTGGACTGGGTCCGTTAATTGGCCCCACTCCCTTTCCCAAGAAATCCAAAGTGCGGGCCTGGAGCCTGGTCTTTGAGTTGCGGGTTGCAGACCAGCTTCTTTGCATTCCATAGTTTTGCACAAGTTCAGTCATGGAAGACTATGAAAAATGACCCAAAATGTGCATTTCTCCCCCCTCCAATAGCCTTAAGTCAGAAAATGTGCCTCGTGCATTTTTGAGAGTGTCAGTTTACGCAAGTGCAAGCAAACACGTTTCTGTAAGGCCCAAGGGTGCTAATGAAGGGCAAAAAGGCGCCTGACCCGCAAGATGCAGCGGGAGCAGACGTGAGGAAGCGCACCAGCTCTGCCAGGGATGCTGGCCACTGTGCCCCCAAACACCGCCAGCCCCTGCCCTGCTCGGGGCCTGGGCTCTGCCAGCTACCCGCCCGCTCCTTGTCCGCCAGATCCGTGATGAAATCGATCAGTTTGGGATCCGGATCTACCAGTTCCCGGACTGCGATTCAGACGAAGACGAGGACTTCAAGCTGCAGGACCAAGCCCTCAAGGTGAGGGCGGGTGGAGGAGCGGGCCCCGCGGAAGCAGGTGTGCGGCACGCCGAGCCCGGCAGGACGTCCTTGGGGGGTGGCACGCCGGAGCCGAGGCGGGGGCCATCCCCAGGGAGAGGGCAGGCGGCAGGCCCCGCCTGGCACGCTGCCTCTGCCTCGGCCCTCGTGCGCTTGCCAAAGACGTGACGCAGCACAGCGGCTTCCCCCGCTCCCGTTATTTGCGGACGGTCGGACTGCTCCGGCTTTGCTTGCCCTGCCTTCGCAGCTCAGGTGCTCTCCAGCCAGGCTGCGAAGGCCGCGTGGCCGGCCGGACCGATAGGGCCCTGGAGCGCCCCCTGCCCCCCACGCAGCTGTGCCCCTTGACCCAAGGGCGCTCGCAGAGCCCGCTGCGGAAGGGCTGCGGCGCACGGTGAGGGCCCCTCTGGCCTCTGTGCGGGTTTGGGGGGCGGGGGTGCTGTGGTCGGCCAGTGGTCCCGTGCCAGAGTCGCCAGCGTCCGGCCCAGAAGAAGGCGGCCGCTGATGTCTGGGGGAGGCTCTGTCCTCGGAGCCCCCCTCCTCTCCCAGGCAGCTGCGCGTCTCCACGAGGCGTCCCCCAAGTCCCGCCCAAAGCCACCCCCACCCCACCAAGAGTGCGCGGAGAACACCCTTGATGCGCCGGCCACTGCTGGGCACGCACCGTGGCTGGAGGCGCATGCATGCATGGGGCGCGCACGAGCCAGCAGCATGGCTCCGGGCCACTCGGCTGGCTGTGGGCGCTCATCGCTGCCCTGGCCCACCCCACGGCGCGTGGCCGCCCTTGTGCCGCACCTCGCACGCTGGGCACGGCCCCTGACGTCCCCCCTCCCGCAGGAGAGCATCCCTTTTGCTGTGATCGGCAGCAACACGGTGGTGGAGGCCAAGGGCCGTCGGATCCGTGGGCGGCTGTACCCGTGGGGTGTTGTGGAAGGTAACCCCCCGTCGTGCGCTTGGGTCCGTTTCACAGCCTGCCCGGGGGGAGGGGGCGCGCCTCTCCGCGGGGGGCTGCCGCGTGCCCCCTGCCTTCACAAAATCCCCCCTGCCTTGACTCAACGTCCAGGTGCGGCAGCTGCTGGAACGTGGGAAGTGCCGCCCCTGGCAGCTGAGTACCTTCCCTCCAGGTGGGGAAGACCGGAGAGGCTGGTGCCCCTGAGCCCCCAGAGGGGGCTGCGAGGCCTGCCGGGAGTGGGCTGAGCACCGTCCCTCCAGCAGCGTCTGGCAAGGGAAGCCGCCCGCAAGCCCCCCCCGCCTCTCCCCTCTGCGGACGAGGCGGGAGCAGGGCAGGCGGTTCTGGGCAGAGAACATGCTGCCCGCCGCACCCCTTCTGCCCGGAACATGGAAAGCACGCTGGGCTGCAAGCAGGGGGCCCGGGCCGGCCCTCGCCCAGGTCTGTGCCCCCGCTCACACGGCACCTTCATGGTTGGAGCCGGAAAGGGCCCAGAGGCAGCGGGAGAGAAGTGGGCGGGAGCTGGTTGGAACTGCCTTTGAACCCCGGCGTCCTGCACTCCGGCGGGCTGCGGCTCCCATGCTCCATGGATGATGGGAGTTGCAGTCCCAGCACATGGAGAGCGTGTCGGCAGCCTCAGGAGGCATGTCTGTGTGCCCGTGATGAGGAGGAGGATGTGGGAAATGCGCAACTCGCCAGTGTGGGTCCAGGAGAACTGGGCGGGGAAGGGCTCTTGGCCCGGGAGCCGAATGCCTGTTTGGACCGGCGGTGGGCGGGGCTGGAGGCAAAGGGGGCGTGGCCAAATGCCGGGTTCCTTTGCTCAGAGCTCTTCCTGCCAGAACCAAGCTTTCGGAGGGATGTTTCAAAATGCTGAGGGAGGGAGGGAGGGAGGCCTGAGCAGGACCCGAGGACCCTTGAGCTGCCCCGCCCAGGGGGCACGGCCCTCTGGAGGAGCCCAGGGGCAAGTGCTGGGTCCCCTCCGCAAGAGGGAGGAGGAGAAGGGTGCCCCCCTTGGCCCGCTGCCAGGGGGCCCACCGTCCGGCGGGGCTCTCGGACCCGTCAGCACGGCCTGCCGCGCTCCGTGCTCGGCGAGGAGGAACCGCGACCTGCCCTGCGCCCGCCGAGGCGCAGAAGAGGGGGCTCCTCGCAGGGCGGCTGGAAAGCTGCCTCCCGGCCGGGGAGCAGGTTGGTGCGCCGCGGCCAGGGAGGCCTCCTGGGGGCCGATCCGGCTCTGCGCACTTCGGCGGTCCTCCCCGGCACCGGGCTCGGCCTGCGCGAGCGGTGAGCTTGGCCCTCGGTTTTGCTTCTCCGGCCAGTGGAGAACCCCGCGCACTGTGACTTCGTCAAGCTGCGCACCATGCTGGTGAGGACCCACATGCAGGACCTGAAGGACGTGACGCGGGAGACGCACTACGAGAACTACCGGGCGCAGTGCATCCAGAGCATGACCCGCCTGGTGGTGAAGGAGCGCAACCGCAAGTAAGTGGGGCAGGGCCGTGGGGCAGGGCCCCTCCCGGCCCAGCCAGCTCCCTCGCGGCACGGCCTGGGGTCTTGCCCCCTGGGGACGCCCCCCCCCCCCCCAGTAAAGGCGCTGTCCCCTCCTCCGCCGACAGGTCTGAGGTGGAAAGGCGCACAATGTGTTCGTGAGAACTCCTCAGCTGGGTTGAGGGTCCGGCGAAGAGCGTTTGTTCTGCAAGAAGGTTAGCGCTGGCTCGCGTGCCCCGACCTCTCTGCCATTTCAAAAAAGAAAAAAGGCCACCTCTGGGCCCTAGGAGCAGAAATCAAGTTTTTTTTATAGCAGCAGTGGATTACCCATTTGCAGCCACAATAAATTGTGCAGATCCATTTCCTCCACCTGTGCGGGGCCGGACTGAAGGGCACAGAGCCAAGCTGCTTCCTCTGTAGAAAGAGAGAGGCACGCAGCCCTCGTTGGAGGGTGGCCGGGCTGCGTCGCTTGAATACAGGAAGAAAAATGCATTCGCAGGACATATGCGCAAGCCGTTGCCTCCTGAAACTGCCCACCCACACACATTCTCACCGGCAACCGGCTCCTTTCCCCCTCACTGCTGCGACTGATGGAGGTTTTCCAGGAAATGTTGAATTGGGCTCATCTGCAGAAGAAATGTGTTGGTTTGCATTGCATTGCAAACAGTTCTCATGATCGCAAACAAGCTGGGCTGGGGTGCATCTGTAGCAGGGAATGAGAAAATGCAGCACGTTTGCTTTACTTGCCTTTAGTAGGCAAAGAAAGAAAAGTCACTTTTCTGGCCAGATATGCTGCAAGTATTCGGCCTGAAATATTTTTTTTTGCGGGGGGGGGGAGGTAACACCTAATGTGATTTATATCTCAGTTTATGTAAATTTGACTGGGATGCCTGAAAAAAGTGTTAGACTGTTGAAATTTAAGGAAAAAGGAAGGTGCTGAAGGTGCCAGCATGTTTCTTCAGTTTAGCAACTCAGAGCATTCTGCATTTCAGTGCTGTTCATTCATACTGGTTGGGGTAGTCCTATGAAAAATGCAAACTGCCATTTTTAAGCTGCTAAATGTAGCTAATAATAGTATTTGCAAGTGGCAAAGCAAGCACTGCTACTAGTGAACTTCAGAGACCAGAAATGTTCTGCCAAAAGACGGGGCCGGCCGAGTGTCTCTGGCATGCCCCTCTCAGCAGACCTGCCCAAGGCCCGGCAGTGGCGCGTCCGAGTCTCGCTCGCTCTCGGCTGTGGATCTGGCACGTGGCCTCTGAGCCCGTGGATGGCCGGCTTGGCTCCCTTCCAGGGCAGGGGTGCAGAACTGTGCCCCCCTCCTTGCACACTGCTTTTGGGGCACCTCCCGAGCTTTCGGGCCGCGTTGCTGCCAGGAAGAGCGCCAAGCTCAAGCGTGCTGGGTTTGTGCCCCGCCCCCTTGGCTCTTGGCTCCACCCACTCCTGGATTGTGCCCCCGCCCCCGGCTTCTCTGCCAGGGACATCAGTCCTCAGGCTTGGGGAGAGGCTGCCCCACTGCCCCCAGGAGGGTGTGCAAGAGGCTGGGGAGGTGGGGGGTCGCCGTTGCCCCCCGGCCGTGCGTTCAGCGGCGTGTCTCGTTCCTTTCGCTGCCTGCCGCCCCCGCGGGACCAGGAGCGGACCCCCGTCCGGGAGACTCTGCTGCGGCGACTGCTCTGTGGACTGAGCCGCCGAGGCCCCCGCCCTGCAGCGCCTCCCTGTGCACCGAGGACCCGCCCGGTGCCCCCGGGCTGGGCAGGGCGCTGTGGACCTGCCGCCCGGCTTCTGCGCGTTGCCATAAAAGCATTTCTTTCCACTTCGGGGTTGTCTTGCTCCCTTCCATTGCGTCGGTGGGAAAGCAGCGTGGGCAGAGGGCTCCCCACGGGGGCACCTTCCCTCAGGCGCCTCCCCTCCCCGGCGGCCCTGAGGATGGGCAAGCCGAGGGGACCAGCACCGGGAAGGATTTGCCCGCTTGGAGACGATCGGCCACGCCACGTTCGCTGGGAGGGCTGCTTGCAGTTTTGGGGTGCGGGGGCCCCAAGCCATTGGTGGGCAGGCCCAGAGCCAAAGGACCGATCCGTTGATTTCAGCTTCAAAGCTGCCCCTGCCAGCAGCTGAGACTTGGGAGGGAGAGGCACGCCTGCTTTTTGGAGTGGGGAAAAATGCACCCGAGCCAGGGCGCCACTGGACCACCAGTAGCCAGGGAGCGCTGGTGTGGCTGGGGGACAGGTGTAGCGCTACGTGGAAGCCCCTCGGAGGGCCCAGGGAGATCCCAGGCAGGCCCCCTTTGGGCCACCGGAAGCTCGACACCCTCTGGATTTCACCCATGGAAATCAACAAGCCCCACTGAAATTACCGGAAGCTCTGGGAGGAGCCCGAGGAGGGTGGGCGGAGGGGGCTTCCAGATACGTTCTGGTTCTGCTGTAGGGGAAGGTCAGCCCCATGGAGGCCTCCCTTCTTGGCTTGTCTCGGGCTGGGCTGGCTGTGGTCCACAGGGGTGTTGGGGGGGCCGCATGCCACCCGTCCCCGTGCGGAGTGCTGGGGGATCGGAAGGCCTGCGAACACGGGGGAAGCCTTCCAGGCCCAGTCTCCTGCGCAGGGGACCCTGCAGCTGGGAAGGGCCATGTGCCCCCTGGTGCTGCCACGGCCCTCTCGGTCCCCACGGGCAGATTCCACGGGTGCCTCTTGGCCCCGGGTCAGGGCAGAGCCGCTGTCGGGGTGCCGCGGGCCTGCCCCCTGGCTTGGCATCCCTTCCCCAGGGAAGGGCTCCTGGTGGCCCTGAGGATGGTGACGAGTCCTGGGCCCGATCTGCCAAGTGCAGTGGGATGGAACCTCATGAGCCACCCCGCTCCTGCGCCCTTACACGAAAGTAGCGCAAGTGGCTGCCTATGTCCCTGGGGCCTCATGCCGCCTGAGCAGGCCCTGCAGCTCTGCAGGCACCCTGGAAGGCCGCCAGGGCCCCAGGCAGCCTGGGCCGCCTCTTTGGGTCGCTTGTGGAATCTGGATGGGTCCCTGGACAGATCAGAAGTGCCAGTCTGGCTCTGGACGCTGGTTCCTTGCTTCTTCCCTGCCAGCTTGCTAGCTGAAGGCCATGTTTCCTTCCACGGAGTCCCGGCCACGGGTAGGGTTGATGAAGGGACAGGTTTTAAATTGCATCGGCCCACCTGTCCTTTTAAGTGTCCGTGCTGGACACAGCTGCTGCCTGCCTCCAAGCTATGGTCCTTCCCTTAAAAGGAAGAAGTAAGGTTCTAGTCCTCATACGTCTTAAAAATGGGTTTGTTTGAATTAAGAACATGGACAGAAGAGTTTAAGGACACGCCTTTAAACATCAGCAGCACACAGGAAGTGCGCATTTACTCTTGACCTTGCTGATTAAACTTGCCCCTCAAGATAGTGGCCAGAGCCTGGTCATCTCTGGGTGGAAGCGCTGGGCTCTCCTCCGGCCGCCTGGCGCCTTCCAGAAGTGTTAGGCTGGCGATGCAGCCCGACACGCCTGGGGAGCGCCACGTCGGGGAAGGAGGCTGTGCGGATGGGCGCAGCCAGGATCTGCACAGAGCCCTTCCCCGAGTGTCCGGAGAGTCTCAGTGCCCGGACCACGGCCTTGCAAGGTAGGACAGTCAGTGGGGTGCAGTGAGGGGGTTTGCTGCAGCGCCTGGGTCCATGCCTGAGCCGTGCGGCGAAGAGGGGGCCCTATGCACTGCTGATCTGGCAGCTCCACGGCATCCCCACAGGCGGAGCCGGGAGACGCGCCACGCAGCCCCCAAGCCCCCCCCCCCGGGCCGTGGCAGGCAGAGGGGAGAGGCTGCCCTCCCCAGGCAGTTCCTTTGCCGGGGCCGCCGGGGCCGTGTCCGAACGGAGCGTGCGGCTGCAGCCCCGCACCCGGCCGTTGAGAGCCCAAGAGCTGCCTGGCGGGCTGGGGCCAGGCAGGGGCACGTGGATCGGGAGGGTGGCCTGGGGGGGGCTCGGCCCTGGTGCCGGCCGGGGGGCTCGGGGGGACGCGAGGTCAGGGAGGGGCCACGATGCTACCGGCAGTGCTTTCCCCCAGAAGCCATGCCCGGGCCACGCTTCCTCCATCTTGGGGTGGGAGGATGGCCCACCCCCGCAGAGCCCCCTGGACGTCTGCCCCCACTCCATCCCTGGCCCTTGGCCATGCTGGCTGTGGCTGCTGGGATTGTTAGTCCAAGCATCTGCAGGGCACCGGGTTGCCCGTCTGGCATTGGCCCGGCCCACCCTTTTCTCTAACGCCTGACGGTGTGTGTTTTTTGGCACTCCGAGTGCCCAGTGGGGCCCCTGGAAAGCAGGTGCAGCTGGGCAGGCTGGGCGTCCTCGGAGGGCTGCTTGCAGCGGAGGCTGCAGAAGGCCAAATGCAGCAGCCTCGGCCCTGGCAGGGCTTCCTGAGGCTGTGCCGGCTCTCCCTCGTTTCTCATATGTGTGTTTTAAAAAATATATATAGCAAACTAACCAGGGAAAGTGGGACGGACTTCCCCATACCGGCTATCCCGCCCCTGCCAGACAATGAGACGGAGAAGCTGATCCGGGAGAAGGACGAGGAGGTAAGCCGTGGGCGGAGGCCCGCTTTTGCCGCCGTGCCACCCCAGACCTTTCCCCTCCTGGACCTGGCTGGGGACAGCGCCCCACCTTTCGCGGCCTGGCCATGGACCTGGCGCTGGCGCTTTCTCTCCATTCAGTTGCGGCGGATGCAGGAGATGCTGGAGAAGATCCAGCGGCAAATGGAAGACTCTCACTAGCCGCCTGCCACGAAGCCTCTTCGCTCCGGCCCCCCACCCCAGAGGCACCGAATGTCATGGCTTCCCCCGCCACCCGCGCAGTCTCCGGCGCTTGGCCCGGCTGCCCACCCGCCACCTTAAGCTGAGAACCTGTTGCTGAAACCCTCGCCTTACGACCAAGCTTGCCACGCTCGCCGGCTGCCTCACTCCTGTGCCCCGTGGCCAGTGCGGGCTTTGCCTCTCCTTGACCCCACGGAGCCGCCGAGCCCCATGCCGTGGGCCCCACCACCGCACTGCCCGAGCGGGCAGGGAATTTTTCCTGGTGCCCAGCCGGAGCCTGGCTTCCTGCCACGTGACCCGAGTACCCCGTGCCCTGCACTCCGGGGCGACGGAGAAGAGAGCGTGGCCCTCCTTCGTGTGGCAGTCTTCGAATCCCCGACCAGCGCTCTTCTGTCTCCTCTCCGTCTTCGCTGGGCTGGACGTGCCCGCCTCCGTCGTGGTGGCGCCAGTTCTGCAGCCAGTGGTGGATTCGCCCCGAAGCTGCTCCAGCCTTTAGCCAGTTTGCCAAATAAAATGTAATGGGCACTTCGGCGACAGCTTTGCCGGAGCCAAGATGAATTCTGTCCTCGGCGTTCCCGCAGGGAGCTACCCAATCGAAAAGCGACGTCGGTGGGGCCTGGCGAGACTCGCTCCTCATCAGTCCGGCTGGCTTCTCGCAATCGCTGCATCCTTTGCCTTCAAGGTGCTCACAGAATGAGGTCTTTACTATCTGCTGCAGAACTTTCCCAGATGCAACTTCCTTAGTTTTTTTTAAAGGAACAGCCCGAAGGACCGAGCCGTTCTCCAAGTAGGCGCATCTTCATTCGCAGAAGGAATTCGTGGGAAGTTCTCGGGGAAAGCCATGCCTGCTCTTGCAGGTGTCCCTCCTGAAATGGCCGTCCACGGCCCAGGAGGCGAGAAACACGGCTGCTGGAACACTGCTCGCGGGAAGCTGCTCCAGGCATGCGGGGCAGCCCCGAAAGCCAGTGGTCCGTCTTCATAGATACTGCCTGGGCCCCATGGCAGGAGTTGTACCAATGCAGGGCCATCGCCATGCGGGTCACGCCCCGGGACGAGAATGAGCGGAAGGGCGCCCAGGTGTGTGTGGACTGCCCAGCGGGTGGGGTGGCTGCTGCAGCTCTGCAGAATTGGAGTGCCTGCATGCTGAGCCACAGAGCGAGGCTCTGCCAGGCGCCCTTGGGGGACCTCGCCAGTGGAACAAGACTGCACAGCCCACCTTGGGTTACGAACAACCACCTTTGGTAACATCAGTGGTAGAGTGTCCCTGAATGGGGAGGCTCCATTCCTAGTACATAGCTGTGACTAAGAGCTGCAGGTGGGCCAGTGGGCAATGTCTCAGTTCCCGAGAAGTTCCTCAGATTCTTTCAGGAAGATAATTGCACCTCATTTGTGTACCCGAATGCGTTTGTCCGCCCTGATTGGGAAAAATGCACATTTTAAAAATGCATTTTTCCTGACCAAAAATGCACACTTTTCTCCTATAGGCTTAAAGTATGAAGATACAGAATTTGGCAAGGAGAGGGAAGTTTGTAAAAACGTGCATTTTAAGAAATGTGCATCGGTGCATTCTCCGAAATGCAAATAGGTGGATTTTTGCAAATGTGCATTTGCGAACCAACTCATTTTGGGCATCGAGTGCAATTTGGAAAAGTACGAACCTTGCCAGAGGATGGTGTCCCAGGTCACACCCCGGACGCTGAACGGGGCATGTTTTGCTCAGGGGAACGCCCTCACGCTCTCTGGGGCTGCTTGTCCATGCGCACACGCCAGTTGTCCCGCTGGCATCTGGCACCTTCTCTCTCCAGAAGCTGCCCACAGCCCTCTCTCCAGGCAGCATCTGAGGGTGGTGCTCTCTGTGCTGGGCAGCGCCGCTCCGGGCTGAGGACCAAGGTCCTTCTGGTGCGGCCTGCGCTGTCGGAACAGCGCCCGCCACCTCTGGAGCAGCCTCTGTGGAGCACACGCGCAGCCCCAGTGGGTGAGCCACGGCCCCACCACACGCCCACAGACGGGCTGCCGGCTGGCCATCGGCCCGCCTCCAGGCCTGTGCCAAGAGCCTGGAGGCCTTGCAGCCACAGCCGGTGGGGCCCACGGCTGGCCAGCACGCGCCCTCCCCTTTGCTCTTTCTAGCGATACTGCACTGTTGCTTTCTGGTCGTCGGCATATTTATTATTGTTAGTGGTGGATTGTGCCGGATAACGAATTGGGATGTTATCCTCAGGACACGCAGCAACGGCATTTTTGAATTCCCCGGCACACAGACGCAGGCAGCAAGCCCTGCCCCCTGCAGGCACCCACCGGGGAGCACCGATTCCACATGGAATGCCAGAATTTTCCTTTGCTCTCTGCTTTTTCAGAGACTCATTTAGAGGAGGAAGAGGACGAGGCGTTTTTAGGATTGTGCAAAGTCCAATTTTGGCAATCTGGGGCCCTCGGAGGAGCGGAGGTCAGCACAGCCTCCCAGAGGCAAACTCTTGCCCAGGGTAGCTGGGGTGGGCGGCTTGGGGGAGGGCCATCTTTGCAGGTAGAACACGCCCGGCGAAGGGGCAGAGAGGCTGGCACGTGGGGATGGGATCCGGGGAGGTGGGGAAGAGGTTTCGCCCCTCAGCCCCCCAGCTCCTTCCAGGAGCGCCAAAGCTCAGGCACAGGACGTGGCACTTTGGGGGCACCTCCGGCTGCTTCTGCTTTGGCCTTCTCCATCTGTCAAATCTTGCTATTTTCTTACCAGAGAGAGAGAGAAACCCTATCTTTGCCCAGTTGTCTGAAAAAGAAAATGTATTTATTGAAAGGCTGTAAAAATTATAGGTTTATACATAGCTCCAGTAGAGATATTTTTTATCCTGCCAATAAACGCAGCTACTTTCAGCCGACTGGAGTGGGCCTCTGAGTTTCTCAAGCTTCATCGCAGCACTGATCTGCCCGGCACGGTGGCTCCGTGAAGCGCCGGGCCCATGGAGCTCGTGTGGGGCCCTTGCAGGAAGGAAGCGAGCCCGCAGACGGTGCGAGAGCGCCCCACCCCTCAGGGTGCGTTTCCGTCTTGGGTGCCCCTGCACGGCACAGGCATAGCTTCGCTGAGCTACGCAAGCCCCTTCGCCACGACAAGGCAGTGGTCCACGAAGGAGCCGTGTTCCAGGTGCTGCTTTGTGCAAGCTGCATCAGTGCACGCAAATTCCCTTAGCGATGCGAGAACCGCTGCCCTTGCAGGGGCAGAAGGGTGGCCGGGTGCAGCGCCGCGGTGGGTGACGCTGGGGCTCAGTCTCTGCCCTGGGTCAGATTCCTGACGCATTGCTTCAAGGAAGGGCTCTGGGTCCAAGGTTCAGCCGCTTCGCAGCTCCACGGCGCAGGCCCACAAATGGCTCGGGGGACCCAGACTGTTCCTGCGTCTCACATTCCATTCTTCTCCCACTGTGGGAACTGCTCCAGTTCTCAGATTTCACTTCCTCCTAATTTTGTTTTTTAAACCTGCATCGCAGCGCACAAGGGTCTTGCGCACAGGCCTCTCAGAACATTTCGCTTAAGCTACCTTGGTTTTTGCAAGTGGGTTTCCTCACGTGACACATCTTTGAACATCATGTCCAGTGCTGGGGCCTCGAACTGAATGGCCACCCAAGCACTGCAAGTGTCAGTCGCTTGAGCCAGACTCGAATTGGGAGCGACAGGCGAGTGGCTTGACTTTGGATTTCTGCCGTTTCCACAGCCGAGTCGCTAGGGGGCTGTGTCACACGAACTCAGCCGACTGGGGCGGGGGAGTTTCAAGGGGGCGGGACAGGATAGGGATTTCAGTTAAATAAATTGCTTCGCTACATGATCGAGGCATGATTAAGGTGGCACTGAGGGAGGTGCAGGAGGAAACATGGTGAGAGCCCGTGTGGCGTCGTGGTGGAGAGCATGGGGTGGGACTCGGGTGATCCGGGTTCGAGTCCCCGCTCGGCCATGGGGCCAACTGGGTGACTTGGGCCAGTCACAGACTCTCAGCCCAACCTACCTCTCAGGGTTGTTGTTGTGGGATAAGATGGAGGAGGAGAATGACGCAAGCTGCCTTGAGCGCTTTGTAGGAAAAAGGCAGGATATAAATCGGGGGGGGGACCCCCATCGGGGGGCAGGGCTCGTCACTCACCAACCACCCCACCTCCCATTTCCCTGTTCAAGTGGACTCGAGAAGAGACCCGAGACATGCAGCAAAGGACTTGAACACATCGTTATTTCTAGCTTATGCATCCTGGCATGCATTTTCATGGTCCAAGAACTTGGGCTCCTGACTGGACAAGCTGGGAAATTGTGGGATTATTTTTGAAAGAGAGCCGTTTCAGTGCCTGGAGTTGTTCACACAAGTAAAATAATTTCTGATTACCCACTACTTTCGGACCAGCCAAATTAAGTCTGCATCACAAGTGCTCCCCCCCCCCCGCCCCCCAACGCCAAGGAGAACAGCCTGGGCAGAAGGGACCTTTATTGATGCGCATGATTGGGTTGTACATCGAGAGTTTGGAGGACTTCTCCTCCGCGCCTCTGGAGAGGCTGTCACATTTTGCTTCCAGGTCAAAGTGCATACAGCTGCTTCACAGTCTTTGCCTAAACCCGCCCCCCCCCCCCCCGCCCTGCCACGCTGCTCCCCCCACCACATTCCCCTACTGAATACTTCCAACAAGCTCCCAAAGCATCGCGGCTGGCAGGGTGGAGCGGCAGCCCTGGGCCTTCCCTTCCACCGCGCCACATGGACGCGGGCCTGGACGTGGCCTGGGCCGTGGAGGCCCCCTGGGCACGGGGATGGTGGGAGCTGGGTGCTTCCCACAAGGCTGCTGGCCGAGCCCTGGGTGCCGGGGGTATGCCGCGGGCGCGAGGGGCCAGAGGAAAAGCGAGCAGCCTTGCGTGAGATGCACTTGCCGTCCCTGGCAGGGCGGGCCCGGAAGCCCTGGGCAGAAATGTCACCGCCGGCACTGCACCGTCATCAGCAGCCAGGCCATTCTGGGGCCCGAGCGAACGGCCGGGGGGCGGTGGAGCTCAGGCACAGGCACCCACTCAGCCGGGAACACTCCCCGCGGCCCCACCGGGAGGCAGCAGGACCCCGGCGGGGGACCCCTGCAGCGGGGTGTCTTCCTGCCCCGGGACCCCAGAAGGGCTGTGCATCCTGGGCACGGGGCCGGCTGGCGTCCTGCTCCGAGGCCTCCATGCAGGGGGTGGCCAGGAGAAACCCACACAGGCCGCCGCCACACCTGGATGCACCTGCGCTCCTGCAGACCCCGAGGCGCCGGAGCCGGGCTGCCCTGCCCTGCCCTCTGCCTGGCAAGGGCCTCCCACAGGGCGCCCCGAGTTCCCACAGGCCAAGCCTCCGAACTCGGCCTCGACTAAGCAAATCAGGCAGAAAAGCTGCGGGGGGCATCGCCGGCCTCTTTCTGTCGAAACCTGCGCAGGATTGCTGCTCAGGTGCGATTTTAGCGCCAACTGTCCGATCAGGCCGGCGCAGCTGGGGGCTCAGATGAGGCCACGAGACAAGATCGCCCCTGTGCAGGATGCTGCCCGTGAATGCAGCGCGTCCGCCTCTTTCCGAGGAGCAGCTGCAAAGTTCTGCTGAGTGGCCGAGATGCCAGAGCGCCCGGACTTCAGCGCCACCCTCAGCTGTGAATGGGATGAAACAAATAAATTCGCTTTGTGGTTTGCGAGATAAGGGAGCCGGGAGAATCCGTTCTTTCACCACACTCCACCTGCACAATGTCACCATCTCTGCTGCTACGGATGCCACGATTCTACTGAAGGAATGCTGCTCAGGAGAGCGGTTGGCGCGCTTGGACAGCCCCTGTCAGCAGGCCGGGATGCGCCCAGCCCCTCCGCAGTGGCAGCCCCAAGTCCATCCCTGAGTCGCTCGCTGGCGCCAGGAGCTTTGCCCCCGAGGGGTCAGTCCGTGGGGCTCCCTCGCACCGCGGCAAAGCGCTCCTGGGAAGCAGCAGGGGTCTCCAGAGGACTCTGGCCAGAGGGACGGGGAGCAGCGCACCGAGTCCTGCGTGGCCCCTGGGAGGCACGGGCAGGGCTGGCCTGTCCGGTGGTCGGAAGGCGCTCGTCCTGCAGCTTCACTGCCCTTCATCTCTCCTGCGCGGGAAAATCCGCAGAGCCGACTTCTGCATGCAGAAAATGTCGCAGAAGTGTGGGCAGTTGCAGGTGGCTGGGCAGGACATGACAGGGGAGTGCCCCCCGCCCCAGAATCGCTCCGCTTGTGGAAAACCAGACGACCCGGCTTAATGGGCTCCTAATGCCTCCATTCCGCCATGCAGACCGCACCCCCCCGGGAACAGCAGAGGGCGCCCCCGAGCCCACACAATGGGGCACCTCTCCTGGGGGAGCAGAGGGCTGGCCCTGGACTGCTGAGGCGGGCAGGCTGCGCAGGACAGCTCTGGTGGTGGCCCCGGAGCCCCCATCCCGCACCCCTGCCCAGGCCCTCCTGCTCCGGGCCCAACCCACATGGCGCCTGGCCCGGGGAGGAGGCCGCTCCACCCCTCGCCCCGGCCACGGCCGCCCAGGCGACGGAGCGCAGGCCGGGCTCTGGCAGCTGGAGGGGGACCCCGAGGGGGAACTCTGTGCGGGGGGGTGGGCCAAGGGCCGAGCCGTTGCGGGGAGCGCTGCCGCTGGGCCAGGGCTGGCCGGGAGGGGCCAAATCACCTGCAGAGCCGCTCGCCTGAGATCCGGACTGTGGGGTTCCTGGGGGAAGCGATGCTTGGCGGAACTACACCCAGAAGCGCCAGGAGAAGCGGCGCCAACGGCAGCATGCGGGGGGGGGGCACACACGTTCACCTGTGCAGGATGGGGGGCACGCGCTGTGCACACAGGAGGGGCCGGTCTTCCCGCACGGGCCGAGCCCCCGACGCAAGCAGTGTCTCGGGTGCGTGACTCGGGTGGGGGGGCTGCCTCGGCCAGGCGGAGGGGCGCGCGCGTGTGGCCAGGAGAGAGTCTGCGGCCAGCGGCCAGATGGTGAGAGAAGTGCCCGGGCCGGGGGGGTGGGGGGGAGGGTGCTGTGCCATTGGCAACCACAAGTCACGCAAGGAGGGGTGTCCCTTCCCTCAGCCGTGGGGGGCTTTCCATGGGGCAGGGGGCGCCCGTTCGTGAGGAGTATTTACACGATCCCACGATGCCGGGCGCAGCGCAGCTGCCCCCGCGACCCTGAAGAAGGACACGTGGAGAGCCCACTCCGGGGACAGGGGCACCCGTGCCTCTTCGGGCCCGGAGACCAGCTCCAGCAGCTCGCAGGGGTGCCCCTGGCCCGCCGCGCTGCCCGTGCGGGAGGGAAGGCTCAGTGCTGCCCAGCAACCTGGCGGCGCTCATTCCGACACCTCGGCGTGCGCCAGCAGCCCGCCCTCCGCCGGCCGGTGCGCCTCCCAGAAGGCCTGCTCCAGCTGTTCCAGCTGCGGGCTCAGCGGGAGCTGCAGGGAGACGTGCATCCGCAGGGCCTCCAGCCACTGCTCCAAGCGGCTGAAGGACGGCCTGGGGGGAGAGTGGAAGGATGCCCGTCAGCCCGGCCCCCCCCCCCGGGCGAGGGCCCCGCATGCCCACAGCAGCCCCCGCCCGCCTGGCTCTGGACCCCGAGCCTCCCGCGGCCAGGGCGGCACCCAGAGACGGTCCTGCTTGGGCTGCCTGCTCGTGTCCAAGGGGTCCGCGTGGCCCACTCCCTTCACGGACCCACCCGGCCCCGGCCCCGGCCCCTGCTCACCGCCTCTCGTGGTCCAGGTCACAGCAGCGGACGGCGATGGGAAAGAAGGCCGGGGGGCAGTTGGGCGGGCAGTAGTGGTCCAGGAAGCCCCGGACATTGAGGCCGAAGTCCAGGGTGCGCGGCAGGTAGTCAGGGTCAGCGCTGACCCGCCCGATGATCTGCACAAAGCGAAAGGGCAGCGGTGGAGGCCCCAGCCAGCCCACCCGGGAGCCGCGCACGAGTCCGGCCTGCCCCCCCGCCAGCCACGCGAGTGTTCACAGCCGTCCCGTACTGCTCTGATGCTCGTTCTGTCCGTATTCTTCGCACAACCACCCTGCAAGGGAGGCCACTATCATGGGCCCCAGATTGCAGACGGGCAATTGAGAGAGCAGAGAGAAGGCTGAGAGCAGGGCTCGGGCAAGGCACGGAGCCAGAATCCCGGAGGGGCAGAGCTGAGCGGGGCCTTCCTGGCGCACAGGTGGCCAGGTGAAGGTGATCTGGGCCCGCCCTGGGGCTGACACACCTGTGGTGGGCACGGGAGCCCCTTCTTTCCCCCCAGCCCCCCGCTCTCTTCTGACGCCCCTTCTCCCTTCTCAGTTCTAGGGAAGAGCATGGGCGCAGCCTGCTGACAAGCTGCTCCACGAGCCCGGAGCTGCTCCAGGGACTCGGCCGGCTCCCTCCGGCCCCCCCGCCCTGCACCGCCTCACGTGCTCCGGGGACTCGCCTCGCACAGGATGATGCCAAAGGAGAAAACATCCACCTTCTCGTCGTAGCTCCGGCCTGTGGGCGGGAGGGGTGGGTGTCAGCTCTGTGGCACTGTGGGGCCGGGCAGCCAGGCGGCCAGGCCAGTCTCCCACACTAAGTCCGGGGCCCTGCAGAGGGGCTGGGCCCCCCAGACATCTTCAGGGTTAAAGGCAGCCCAGCAGAGGCCCGGCCCCCCTGCGGGGCCCTGGACTGCAGAGACCTGCCGGTGGCCTTGTGGGAGGAGGATCCAGGCATGCCAGGGGGATCTGGGCATTTGGGGGAGTTGGCAGGGCTGTGTGGGACACGTCTGCCGTGGGGGAGGGGAGGGGCGTGCCCAGCGATTGCAGCCTGTGTGTGCGACGGCCTCAGGTGCCCGGGCGTCCCTGAGCACGCCCAGTGGAGCAGCCCCGGCAGGAGCCGCGCCCGCCGCCCGCTCACCGTTGATCATCTCGGGGGCCATCCAGTAGGGGTTCCCCACCACCGTGTAGCGCTTCCTGCGGTCGGGCTTCTTCACGGGCGCCAGCTGGCTCTTCTCGTCCACCATGAGCCGGGAGAGGCCGAAGTCGGCCACCACCACGCTTTTGTTCTGCGCAGAGGGGAGAGGCGCCTCGCAAGCCGCACGGCAGTGCGGGCCGCACACCCCCCCCCCCGCCCCATGTGGAGCTCGGGAGAAGCCCGCGGCTTTGGGGCGGGTCGCTCCTGCCCAGAGGGAGCCCTTTGGGTTGGCGCAGCTGCTTGGGTCTTTACCGATCCACAGCTGTTAAGGCCAAGGATTGTTCTTGTTTCTGTGGTTTTTGTTCTTTCTGCAGTTTTGTCCCCTTTGGGTGAAACTCACAATAACCAGGACATGAAAAAGCAGAACAAAAACCTTCAGCCCCTGGAGCAAAGCAGCCGCAACCATCACGGGCCTTGGCGTCAGGCCACAGGACGGGGCTCCGCCGCGAGGAGCGTCCGCTCGAAAGGGGGGGGGGGCCGCCGCGGACGCCCGCAGACGGTGCGCAAGCTGGCGGTGGGCTCCCAGCCCCTTGCTAGCGGGGGGTTTGGCCCCCGGCCCCCGCGCCTACCTCCCGCACGAGGCAGTTGTGTGTGTTGAGGTCGCGGTGGATGATGTTCATGGAGTGCAGGTACGCCTGGCGGGGGGAGAGACGAGCGGGCGAGTCAGGCGCTGTGCCGCGCACCCCTCGGCCGCCCTCCCCACAGCCTGAGGCACGCGGGACGGGTGGCCCCACGCTGCGGGGGCGCCCGTTGGGGAAGGCCTTGCGAGAGGTCATTTCATGCTTTCTGACATGAATGCTTAATTCTTGTTCCTGTTTAAGCTTGTTTTGTTTAGTTTTGTCACTTGGTTGTAAACTGCCCAGAGAGCTTCAGCTATGGGCACTATAAAAATGATGATGATGATGATGGTAATAAAAATTTAAAAATGATTAACAGGCAGGATGGAAATCTAATAATAAGCAAACAAACACATTTCTCATGGACAAAACCCGGCTCTTGTTCAGCGTGCAGCTCGTCATCGTCATCACGTCTGCACCGAAGTTCAGTAGGGCTGAAGGAACCCACAGGCAGCTCCCTCTGCCTGAGTCTCTGGGGTATCTTTTGGGCTTTCACGGTTGAGGGGGAGGCACTCTGCACATGCTCAGAGATGCTCTCATCTCAACTAGAATTTTGAAAGCTTCCCAGCGTAAAACTGAACACCCTCAAAGACAATAAAACATTAATAGCTACAACAAAACTACAGTTAACAGTCAAAAAGCAGAGGGGGTGTTGCTCGGTACGGAAAAGAGCTGGGGCCCAGGCCTACAGGACTGAGTGCCACTGGCACAGGAAGATTTGCATCTATCTAAGCAACTTGGGAAAGGATTGCTAAGATTCAGTTTTATTTCAGCTAAGGCAACGCCAGCTCACAGCTCTCCCACCCAGACCGCCCCAGATGAAAAGCACACTTCCTCAAGCGCCGGTCCACCCCAGCCGCAACCTTCCCCGAACGCCGGCCTTGAACCGTGGCTGCCCCGGCCAGCGACAGGCTGCAGGACGGGGGGGGGGGGGGGGGACTGCCCACAGGCTCGGCCTGGCTGCGCACTCACCATCCCCGCCGCGATGTCCTTCACAAAGCTGACCCGCTGGCTCCAGGGGTACTGGCTGTCCTGCAGGCAGAGAAAGGGCCGGTGAGCGAGGGACTTCCAGGAACCGTGGGGTGCAGTGGGGATATTACCGCAGCTGCAAGCTGGGGTTGGGTCTGCCAACTTCCAGGGGGAGCAAGGTGGGGGAGCTACTCTGCGGAGCCGTTCTTGGGGGGCGTTCTGACCCCCCAGAGAGACACACTGCGCAAGAGGCAGGACACCAACAAAGCCCCAGAGGCCGGGGGAAAGGGGTGTCCTCCTGACAGGCCGAGGGCCGGGCCAGGGATCCCTGGCAGGCCACATTTGGCCTGCCAGCTGGGAGTTCTGCACCCAGTCGAAAGCACTCGTCCCCACAGCTGCTGCGGAATCACAGGATCCTGGAAGGGTGAAGTTGGGAGGGGCCAGGAAGGCCATCCAGTCCACCCCCCTGCAGTTGCAGGACACCGTGTCACACCACCCCGCTCAGAGGGCTGTCCAGCTTCTTTTCGAAAGCCGCCAGAGTGGGAGAGCCCCCCACCTCTCCGGGCAGCTGCTTCCACAGTCGTACTGCTCTGACAGTGAGTGAGGAAGCTTTTACTGATGTCCAGCCCAGGACACGCATCGCTACTCTACCCCTCCGACATTCTCCCTCTGTCTGAACGCCTGTCTGGCTGCAGGAGGACATGCAAGTTGCAATGGGGAGTGGAGGGGGCCCTGCTGGGAGTGGGCCCCTGGCCTTTGCCCGACCATGCCTGCCTTTGGCTCCTGCTCTTCCCTTCAGCAGCCCCTCCAGCCCTGTGCTGCTGCCCCACAGACCCGGCCGGGTGGGCCAGCAGAGGGGCGCCTACTCACTGCAGGCTTGCCTGGCCTGGCCTGGCGCAGGAGCCGTCGCCGTGGGGATGCTGGCATGCCCCTGCTGGGGGTGGGCCCCCAACCAGCTCAGCCATGCTGGCATGTGCTGCCAGTTCCCCTCAAACCTCCCGTGTGCAGAGGCCACAGCACCCGCCCCCCCCCCCCGTTCGCCACGAAGGCCGCAGCTGGTGTGTGTCCCACGCAATGATGCGGTGCCAGAATCAGAGCGCGGTGGCCGCCCGGCCGCCGGAAGCCGAGTCGGGGCGCTGCCGGGCTGCTTGGGCGCTGGGCGAGGTGGGGGCCTGGCCTCGTGCACAGCCAGGCTGCTGGCCGGAAGCCCGGAGCACCTCCCGCCCCCCCGCCCCCCGCCTGCGGGCCCTGAGCCGGGTCGCCGCGAGGCCAGTCCCGCCTCCCGCGCACCATGTTCTTGATGATCCCGCGCAGCGTGCCTCCCTTGATGTACTCTGTGATGAAGTTGAGCCGCTTGTCCTTGTAGAGGACGCCGATGAAGCGCAGGACGTTGGGATGCTCCAGGCACCGCATCACCTTCACCTGGGGTGGGGACAGAGAGCCGCAGCGTCAACCCAGCCCCCGCTGGACTTACCCGTCTGCGGGCTGGAAGGCCTGGGGCCCCGAGCCGTGGGGGGGGGGGCATGGAGAGCAGGCCGCCATTCGCCCGAAAACCCTCTCAGCGACTGGCTGGCACTGCTTGACATGCCAGAAGGGATGGCCCCCATGGGGCAGCTTCGGAGCACGGACAATACCGCCAGCTGCTCGCACGGTCATTAGCCGCGCGCACAGAGGCTGGGAAGAGCAGGGGCATCAGTTCTCGAGGAGAAGCAAGGCAGGATGCGAGGCGACGGCGTGCCGACGTCAAAGGCCCAGGGCAGCGGCCGAGGAGGCCAGCGGGGTGGGCGGGCGCCTTCCAGCACCCCTGGGCGCAGCGGCAGCCGGCTCACCTCCTTGAGGAACGCTCTCTGGGTCTCTTCGTCAAAGCGAATCAGCTCCTTCATGACCATCACCTCTCCGGTTTCCCGGTGTGTCACCTGCGCGGAAGGCACTGAAGGTCAGAATCAGGAAGCTCGTGCAAAACCTTCCTGGAACTCACCCCTCCTGCAAACCGGGACAATTCAGGTCCGAGGAGGGGAAGGGACGCACTCTCATCCTCTTCCCTCCACGTGCCCTTTTCTTTTCTGCCACAACTTTTGGACTCTAGGCTTGCAAGCAGGGACTGCCATGTTTCTTTTCTTTGCAAACCATTCTGGGAGCCTTTCTGGCTGACGTCAGGCACAGGAGGGCTGGAAATGAAGAGGCTTCTGTGGCTTGGCTTGCTCTGCGCTGGGCCTCTCCTGCCCTCTGCTGGGTCACGGCCTCCTTCTGCCCCCCATGCGTGTAAACAGCCCACCAGCAGGGCTGAACTGTGCTAGGACTGTGGGATATGTGTGTCGAGCCTTCGGTTTCTAAGTAGAATGCCAGTTACACAAGCATTTGGGGATGAATTTCAGGTACCTCACTGACCCCCACTGCTCCAAAAGCAGAGATGGACCATGTCCACCCCACTGATTTCAAACTGCTGCACTTCAAGATATGCAGCAAAGCAACGCTGGAGTTCATAGAATAATAGAACTGGAGAGCCAGAAAGGGCCAGAAGGCTGTCGGATCCGACCCCTGCTCAGTGCAGGACACCGAGTTGAGCCATCGCTCCAACATGCCTGTCCAGCTGCAAGTCCGATGCCTCCGTGTGGGGGAGCCCGCTCGATCCACTGACGTACTGCTCTAACAGTCAGGAGGTTCTTCCCGACACTCAGCTGGCACCTGGCTTCCTCCGGCTTAAATTCATCATTCCATGTCTCGATCCTGGGATGATGGGGGTGAGAGCCTGGCCCTCCTCTCCATGACAACCCCCTTCAAGGACTTGAAGAGTGCCCTCAAAACTCCCCCACATCTTCTCTTCTCAAGGCTAAACACGCCCAGCTCTTTCAATACCTCCTCCCAGGACGTTTTTCCCAGTCCCCGGGTCACCCTTGTAGCCCTCCTCGGAACCATTTCCAGCTAGTTTGCCTCGTCCTGAGGTGCCCAGAACTGGATGCAGGACTCCAGTTGGGGCCTAACTAGTCAGCTGGAGCTGGGGGTCAGACTAGATGACCCAGGTGACCCCTTCTGACTCGCTCTGTTTCTATGTTTCTAATCTGTGCTGAATAGAAAGTTCTGTGAATTCTGCCTCCCTGTGCTTTGTTTCGCTCATCTCAGACACAAGAGTCTTTAAAAGAAATATTTCATTGGAAAAATGCACATATTTTAAATCGCGTAATTTTTGTACTCAAAATATGCAGTTTTCAAACATGCATTTTCCCAAACATGCGTATTTCTAGGCTCGGTTGTGAAGATTCAGCCCATGGGTGGATTTGTGCGGGTGTGCTTTTTCACTTGCCTGCACACCATCTTCAGAAGTACACATATGTACAAAGAAACGCTCTTGGAAGTGCTCATGCGCATACCTGTGTTTTTAAACATGAACACAACTTCAGGAAATTGCCAACATTTCCCGAGAATTGCTTTCAGGGCAATGAACGGAAAGAGGAACAGAGAGCTTGAACTTCCCCAGAGATACCGCTCGCTGTGGCCAGACTTCCTTAAACTCGCTCGCTGTATGGATCGATTTCTACATTTCCACAGCGGTGCGTGAGAACGGCCACCCCTGAGTGACTCGCGAGGCCGTCACCGCTGCGAGGTCACGGCAGGGGTGCCCCCGGCCGGCTACTCCTGGGATGGTACCTTGATGGCTTGTCCAAAGCAGCCTTTGCCCAAGACCTCTCCATGGATGAGGTCCGAGGGGCGGAAGATGCGGTGAGGGCGTGAGACCACCCGCAGGGACTCGGAGCGGCCGATGTCCTTCCGCTGGGAGGCCGGGGAGCACAGCGAGCTGGAGCATGGAGACTTGTCGATGCTGCAGCTCCTCCTGTCGGGGGAGAGCAGAGCTCAGGAGGGCCCTCGCCGGGCTGCTGAGGAGAGGCGGCCGCCACAAGCTGACCCCGGTGCCGGGGGCACCCCGTTCTCCCCTGCAGAGGAAGGCAGGACGCGCTCCAGTGGAGCAAAGCTCGGGGAACTCAGGTTCCATTTGGATGCCAGGAAGCACTTCCTGACAGTCGGGACCCCGAGGATGTGGAACGGGCTTCCACGGGAGGTGGCTGAGGGTGTTCAAGGACAGGCTGGACGTCCACATGGTGGGCATGTCGTGAGCGGAGCCGGCTGGAGTCGGGGGTCAGACTAGATGGCCGGGGAGACCCCTTCTGACTCGCGCTGTTTCTATGTTTCTAAGATTCAATTCAGATCATCTTGGTTTCATTTTAACCTAAGATTCTTAGCTAAAACCTCCATCAAACAGAATGAAGGTCCTTTGAACAGAATGAAGGTCCTTTGAGGGAAAGCTTTCTATGATTTTTTTTTAATGTAGTGCTCCAGTGCATTGTTATATAGCAAAAAGTCTGTGCCCTGCCAATGCTTTGGAGATGGTTTGCAGAGCCCCAAGCACAGAATCCTAAATTCCCATTGTTTGCTGATTGATTGGGCTGATTGCAACCTCAAGAGGGAAAATTCCAGCAAAAAAACACATTTTTTAAGGGAATTGGCATTGCAATAAGGTTTACTTATTTATTTATTTAGACTATTTATATGCCATCCTGTCGCGGAGGCCTCAGGATGGCTTATATATAAATAACAAATGAAATAAATAAATTCTACTGGGTTTAAAATAGAATAAAATAAATCTACTGGGTTTATGAAATCACCCCAGAAGCAACACCTGCCTGGGGTTTTTGCAGGGCAGGGTGGCTAAGGTGCCACAAGGACCATTCCTCTTGCTCTGTGCCTCCGACGGGGGCAAAATCAAGATCAAGATACGTCCCAGTCGGTATTTCTACATCTGCACACACAGTGATGGGCAAATGCAGATTTGGATGAATCTGCGTTTTTTGAACCTGGAGCCAGACGAGGTCCAGAGGGCAGCAACTCCCCTGCCGCACCCAGCAGCCCAGCCTGACCGGTTCGGTTTGCCCGGGGTCGCTGGCCGGTGGGGCAGAGGGCTGAAGCCCAGGACCTCTGCAGCAGCAGGACCTCTGACCCCATCTGCCACTCCCGCAGAGTTGGTGCGCGCGCGCGGGCAGCAAAGAACGGGGCGGGAGCCTCCGAGTGGGAGTGGAGCCTCGTGGCCACTTGTGCTGGCCCCCCGGGCCCCGTGGGGGGGCTGCGGGGAGGCCGTCCCAAGGAGCGCCCGCCCTGCAGAGCATGCCCCCACCTCCTGCCCGCCCCCACCCCCCGGAGGCTTACATGATGGCGCGCTGGCGGGCGGCAGAGGGCTCGGGGCTGCGGCCGGGCGAGTAGAGGGGGCTGGGCAGTGCGGGGGGGGGGGCTGCTGCCCGGGGGCCCTTGCGGGTCATGCTCGATGGTGAGCTGCAGCAGGCGGCTGGTCTCCTGGATGAGGACATCAATCTGCGGGCACAGGGAGGGCGGAGGCAGGTGAGGCGCCTTTGCTCCGGGCGCAGGGGCGGGGGAGCGGGCGGCCCCCAGGAGGGGTGTCGGGGGCAGTCACCTCGTCTAGCGCGACGTGCCGGATCGGAGTGCCGTTGATCTCCAGGATGCGGTCCCCCACGTGGATGGAGTTCTTCATGTCCGGGCTGATGCAGTCGGGGTTCAGCCTGGCCGGAAGGGGGCGTAAGCAGCGCCGGGGGGGCTCGGCCTGGCCGGTGCCCCCCCCCGGAGGCCCGCCCCCCTCCCCCCGTGGTCAGACCCTGCTGGGAGCGGCAGCACCAGCACCGTTCCCTTGCTCCCGCACCGGTGAAGCACCAGATTGCAATGCTGCATTTGAATGTCCATTAATTTGAAAATTAAAAGCCCAGGGGCAGGATCAGGCCAGCCTGTCCAGTTCAGCCTTTGGCTCCCACAGCGGAAGCCCAGAGACCGGGCGGGGTGCAAGTCGCCTCCCACCCCGCTCCCCCAATCCCCTTCAGAAGCCCTCCAACCTGGGGGCCAAATGCCGGGTGCGGCTACTGGGCACGTTCCAGCGTGGGCCACTGCGAAGGGGCGGGGACGAAGCCCCGCACGCGGGCTGGCGTCCGCCGAGGGGCCCTCGTGGGAAGGGGGCCGCCAGCCGCCCCTGCCCCAACCCGGCCAAGGCCCTCGACTCACTCCCGGACGCGCACGGTGTGCGGGTGCTCTGAGCCACCGTGCTGGTCGATGGAGACGGAGAAGCCTCGTTTGCCCTCGGCACAGGCGGGAATGGAGACGAGGGTCACCGTGTGCGGGATCCGGGGGCCGGGAGACTCCGGCAGCAGCTGGTCCATCACTGGCGTCACCACCATCTGGTAATAACAGTGCCCGCTGTGGCACAGAATGCGGGCTCAGGGCTGCTGCTCCGAGACGGTGTGCAGGGCGGGTGGCGCCCAGGTGCCCGCATGGGACGGGGGCAGAGGCGGCCCGGGGGGCTCGGGGAGGCCGCTCGGAGGAGCACGGCTGCTCCCCTGCTGAACCCCCCCGGGAGCAACATGCCTTCAGAGGGGCCTGGCTGCAGCTCTGCATGAGCCGCTCGGCTGGGCCTGCAAAGCGCCCCCCCCGGGGGGGGACTAAGTGTGTCTTTCCATGAAATTCAGAAACTGGGGGCGTCTGGAGCCCTGGGCGGTCCCAGCGGAGCTTTGACATGGACTGGGATTGTGACAGTGCAGCTTTGGGCCCTTCGGTGGCCCCCGCTAGAGCCAAATTTGCTTTGTCTGGCAACAGAATCCCTGCGCTTCCCATTTCCTTGGCCCTGCTTCACCACTGGGTGTTGGAGCCCTATTTGGGCAGGGGCAGGGAGCCGGCGGGAGGCGATCTGCCCCCGCAGCCCTCGGGAGCTGCCCACACCTGGGGACACTTCTTAGCCCTCGGCTGGGCTGGGAGGAGGCGAGCCAGGAGAAGGGAGGGTGGGGAAGGCACCTCGGGTCGGTTCCGGGCGAAAGCGGGGCTCCGCGGCCAGAGAGCGGACAGACGGCTCTTCCGGGTCGCTTTCTCCTGAGCAAGCGGTGGGAGCACTGACCGGCTGCGGGCCTTGCCTCAGGACGGACGCGCAGCAACGGCCCCTGCGGGAAGGCCCAGGGCCGCTCTCTGCAGCTGGGCCACCGTGGGACCGGGCCCCGGCCCAGCCTTGCCAAGATCAGCTGCCCGGCCCCACTCCGTGCCTCAAGCCACCCGCACAGGAACACCCAGGAGCCCCCGACCGTTCCCACGGGCTGTCTATGGCTCTCCCCCCACCAGCTCACCTGCCCTCCCGCCCACGATTTATCCCCAGAGGATGGCTGTGGGGCTGGGTCCAGGACCTCCGCAGCAGTGGGGCTCCGTGCTGCAGCCGCCAAGGGCAGGAGGCCTCCCTCCGGCTCGCTCTGCCCCGCCTCTGCCCAGGCGCCTCCCAAAGCCGCCTGGGTGCCCCTCCCCTCACCAGTACAGCTTGGATCGCTCCACCAGTGCGTAGGTGTCCCCGTCGCCAATGAAGGCCCGGCAGTTGAGGCAGCTGAAGCACTCCGGGTGGTACTTTTGCTCGCCAGCCACCTGGAAGAGACAGGTGGGCCCAGGTGAGCCGCCCGCCACTTGCAGGGCTCCAGCCGTGGCCACGCAGGGAGCTGCGAGCCCTTCCTCCCACCTGAGCCCCCAGCAGACCGTGCCTTGCAAAGCTCAACCCGGCACGGCACGGACGAGCCCCACAGGCGGGATGCACTCCGTCTCGGGGGCCGCGGCTGAGACGCCCCCTCCTTGTCCCGCACACCCAACCCCCCAGGAGGGGGCCCTCGTCTCCCCCATGCCGCGGGCCTTTCTGGGTTGTGAGCCTCGGGCAGGGCTCGTGGCAGCCGCAACGGGGTGCGACCGGGCCCGGGAGCTGCACTGGCCGAGCAGTGGGAGAGAAGCGCTTGCCCAGCTCGGGGCACCCCCAGGCTGAGTGGCAGCTGGTCCTTCTGCGGTGGGGCAGCCGGCCTCCTCCCCAGGTGACCCGCTCTCCGTGGGGCAAGGCCCGACGCCCAGCCCACTCACCATGACGAGTCCCTTGGTGATCTGCTCGGAGCACCCGTGGCACATCTCCCCGAAGCGGGCCCAGTAGTCCTTCTTGCAGTAGAGGTGCCCGTCCTTCTCGTAGTACTGGTGCGAGAGCGAGGCCCCACACTCGCAGCACCTGTGGGGCGCGAGCGCACGGTCCTCGTCAGGAGCCCTGTCCGCCAAGGTGGCGGGTGCGCACGCCCTCGGCGCCTCTGCATCCTGCCCTTCTCTGGGAAGATGTCCGAGGGGCGCGCGCCCTCTGCCTCCCCCCCACCTCATCCCCCCAACAGCGCCCTGAAGCAGGGGAAGCCAAGGGCTGGGGGCTGCCCCATGGCCACCTTCTGACTCGATGCATGCGTGGACCCAGAACCAGGGTCTCCCCAGCCCAGCTCACACCACTACACCACACTGCCCCTCCAGATGCTCTCATGCACAGCTGCTCCTTCTTGCCCAGAGTGGCTAACGGCTCAGAGTTTCCCTCTGAAGGTGGCTGCACCCAGGCTCAGACCACACGGCGGCGCCCCCAGCGGAGCAGCCCAGTCCCTGTGACTGGCGGGCCGGCCACGCCCCGAGCGTCTTCCCGCGGTTCCCCCTCGGCAGGGCTCCCGGCAGGGTGGGTTCCCGCTGGCCTCGGGGGCCTTGGGGTGGAGCGGGGTGGGCGCCCACACGCGCCACGCAGGGGGCACCGCGGCGGCCCGGACGGGGCAGACGCGCTCCGAGGAGCTGAGCCGCAGGGTGCCCAAACGGCCACTGAGGCGGGGCCGGCGGGCCGTGGGGCACGTGCGCCCCCGAAGCAGATGGGCTGGGGAAGTGAGCGACGGTTTCCTGGCTTGCGAAAGGCGGGCTGGCTGCTGGCCTTTTGCAACTCTGGCCAGGCCAGGATGAGCAGGCGAACCTTCCCCCGGTCACAAGGCCTCCCCTGGGCTCCGAGGAGGGCCCCCGCCCTCGGCACAGGCAGAGCAGGCGGGGGGCAGAAGGACAGCATGCCACCCGGGAGACCTGGCGCCCCTTGCAGTCCAAAAGTGGAGCCAGATAAAAGCAGAAGAAATGGCCGCGAGGGGATTTCACGGAAGGAGAAGAGGCAGCTTCCTTCCTGCTCGGGCCAGGACTGACACAAGGCCACCAGTCCCCCTTCTCTTCCTCCCGTGCTGCTGCCAGCCACGTCGCAGCTGGGGAGGGTGGCTGGGTGCCCCCTTCCTGGCACAGCAGCACTTTGGGCATCCTCACGTTCAAAGCCTGCTTCTGGAGGAAGGGGGCCGAGGGGGCCCGTCTCCAGTGCTGTGCCGGCCATCTTCCCACATGGAGCCCGGGATGCCCTGCTCTGCGGGGGCCTGCTGTGGCGCCCCCCGGCCGCACGGCATCCTCAGGGCTCTCCAGGGGATGCCGCCAGGACCGCGGCGTCCATCAGAAGGAGCTGGGGCTCAGTCCCACAGGACCAAAAGTGAACTCAGGCTGAGATGTGCGCACGCTGGTGAAACTCCTGGTGAAAAGGCAGGGAAGAGGAGGGCGCCTGGACCCAGAAAACCTCAGGCGGGAAGAGGCAAGGAGGTGGCAGAAGGGGAAGCCGTGCGGGCCAAAAGCCCGCTAATCTGGGGGATCTGACCCTGGGGGGCTCCCTGGGCCACTGGGCCTCCCCCAGTCAGGGCCCTTGGCGGGCGGGCGGGCAGCCCCCCCAGATGCAGGGTGCTAAGTGAGACTGGCACCCTGAAGGTGCCGCTGGCCGCCAGCCGCTTCAGCCAACACACACCTGCCTACGCTGGCCTCAGCTCCAGCCGAGCCCCACTGGCCCCTGGGCGCCCTGCCCCCTGCTCCCAGTGGGGCAGGAGAAAGCTTCCGGGGGACACCTGCTTGGTCCAGTCCCCCATGAGCCACGAGGCACAAGAGGCCGAGCAGTGCGGGAGCTTCGCTCTCGCTCTGCCAAGGTGCAAGGTGGCGCTCAGCTCCTCCGCAGGGCAGCACATGACACCTGGCAGAGCGGGAGAGGAGCTGCCAGAGCTTCAGGGGAAAGCAGTGGCTCCTAAGCAGCACAAGTTTGTGTACTCTGCACATGCTCAGAGGTGCTATCCCTTGATGACCAGTTCATATGCTCCCTCGCAGAGTGGGTTCAGAAAGATGCTCCTCACCTAGGGCCTGGGCCGCCCGCAGGCCAGTGGAACCACCGCAAGCCCCCCACCTGGGGTCTCCGCCTTCAGCCTACGCTACTGGTTCTGCCCTCCAGGCTATTTCAGGCATGCAAGCCCAGCCCCCCCCCCGAGAACCACGCCTGCACATGGCGAATGGTGCCGAGGCCGCCTCCCCCTTGGCCTGGGAGTCTGTGCGCCCTTGGTGAAACCCAACGGGATCTGCTCGTCCAGTATGTGCAGGTCCACCCTAGTCGCCTCCTCACCAAACCCGTGGCTCAAGCCAAGCTTGCGGGGCTTCATCTCCCAGCCGCACCTGTCCTCATCTTCGCTTCGCCACAAGGCCCAGGAGCCGGGCGTCCTCCGAGGAGCCGCCCGGCCAGAGCAGGAGAGCAGCGCTTCCCCACAGCTGCCTCCTCTTCTGCCTCTTCACCGAGGCCCTGGGCAGGTGCCCTTCTGCGCTCCGGAGACCCACTCCAGGGGGCCCAGGTGCTTCAGCCATGGCCCTCCTGCACACAAGGACCACCCGCCAAGACCCGCTTTCCCTCGTCTCTGCTGCCTTTCCTTTGTCCTTGAGCGCCGTGTCCGTTCGGGTGTCAAATGACCCATCCTGAGCTGGGCCTCCCACCCGCAAGGGACCACCTGCTGGGCCTCCCCTGGCTTGCCTGGCCAGGAGGACAGAGCAAGGACCCAGCCCCGTGGGCTGCTCCGAGATGCGCAGGGCGTGCAGCAGGCGGGAGCCGTTTTTACCAGAAGCCAAGCGGCTGCTTGGAGCTTGCTGTGACTGGCAACCCGCAAGACGCTCCCAGGTTCGATTCTGCTCCAGGGCAGCCGGCTTGGGCTGCCCCGAGGCGGGAGGCTCGGTGGGCAGGACGGAGCAGACACGGGGGCGCCCTAGTCCCTGCTCCAAGCAAGACACGGCCGTTCCACCAGCCCTGCCAAAAATCACTGTCACAGTTTTCCCCTTCAATGCTGATCTCTTTTTCACGCATCTGTATTTTGAGGCAGGATTACTTGCTGATTCCGAGCTGTACCAGGAACGTTCCTTTTCCAGAAGATAAAAACAATTCGACTAACTAAATCCTGAGAAGGTCCTAAACGCCCAGTCTTGAGCTGGGATGGGCCAAGCGTGACTTGGTTGGAAAGCTGCTTTCCTGCACAAAGACTGGGGGAGGAGCCAAGCCAAGCCAGCAAGCCGGGGAAAGGGGACATAAACACACCAATTAAACCCGATCCCCTGTAGCAATGGCTGGCTTAATCTAGAAGGGGCATTGCAGCCCAGCCCAGCCGGGGGCCACAGGGCCGGGGAAAGACAGAGCCAGCCCCAGCTGGCCAAGGAATTCGGCCTGGCCTGACGCAAGCTTCTGGCAGGTCCATCCCTGGGCAGCCTGGGGCTTGCAGGGGGCCCCCTGAGTCCGCCCCCCGCTCACGCTTCTCGCTGGCCACACGAGGTGCTGCTCTGGAGACCGGCTGCCAACTGCAGCGCAGCTGCGGAAGAGGCCGGCTGGTGTGACTCAGCCTGCCTGCACTGCTGCTGCTGCAGTGGCTTTGCCTTGCGCCCCCCCCCCGCCCCCGCTGCCTCCTCTGCCTCCTCCTCGAGCAGGCGGGCAGCGCAGGCGAGCCTCTCGCAAGACAGGAGTTCCCCCGGGAGCACGTGTTTTTCTCCATGCACACACGCCCCGCTGCGGGCGGGTCCCCCGGGCGCCATGGCGGGTTGCCACACCACAGTGCCCCTGCCGAGGGGAGGGGCGGCCCCCAGGCACAGGGGCCACGGTGCGGCCGGCCTGGCTTTGCACACCCCGTGGCTGGCCCAGCGTGGGTGACGCACGGCCTGGCCTCCCGGGGCACCACAGCAGTTCCCTGGCTCATTTTGTGCCAGGGACAGCTCCCCCGGCGCTCATGCCCCCACTGGCCCCATGGGGAGGCATGGGGGTGACCCAAGGACCTCTGCTCGCCTGCAAAGAGGAGGGGGAAGCAGGCACGATGGGGCGGGCAGCCCCCCCCCCCCCGTGCACATGCATGGCACTCGCTGCTGCAGCTCAGACCCCTCCTCTGCCCACCCCCAGCCCTCTTCCTGGAGCAGCAGGGGGCGGATGGGGAATGCCACTGATGACATCATAGGGGTCTTCTGCATGACATCACCCTTTTGGAACTTCCCACTGGAGCAAGCCAATCAGGGAACTTGCTGCATTAACCCTCGCATGCCTTTTTTTCTGTTATTCAGAGACTGGCCCACCCCTGACTGGCACTTGGAGGAGCAGTCCAAAGTGCTGGGGGGTCCTGGGGGTGCCAGGAAGATGCGGGGGGGGACCCCCTGCAGCGGGAACCTTTTGGTTTCTTCCTAGGTATGTACCTGTGCTCCTTCATAGCCACATCTGCCTATTCAGAGGCCTGGGGAGGATGCATTTGAATTCCACAAGAGGCAAAACCAGCCAGTTAAGTTCTCGCTGAAACCCTTGTCCAGGGCATAAACCCCTTTGCTCACTTGCACCCAGCCCCAGAGCTGCAACCAGAAGAAGAGCGTTCTTAATCAGCACCGAAGGGAAGGAGGCGAGGGAGGGAAGCCCCTCCTGCCCAGGCGCCAACCTGGCAAGTTAGCGGGGGAGAGAGAGAGAGAGCCAGAGCCAGAGCCAGAGCCAGAGCCAGAGCCAGGGAGGGAGAGTCCGCTTGGGCTCTGTGGCATTCCTCCCAAGCCAGGTACCTGTGCACCAAGGGCTTGCAGAACCTTCCCCGGAGGCAACGTCGGGACCAAAGTTGGGTGTCTGCTCACGCCCACCCACCGCCTGGCCCGGGAGAACACCGCCGCCTCTGTGCTAATCGGCTGTCTTTGCTGGTACAGAGCACAGGCCTGGAGCCAAGAGAGCCACCTGAGAAGGAGTCAGCCCTGGGGCCCTCTGGTCCAGCATTGCTAGCACTGGCTGGCAGCAGCAGCTCTTCTGCCACTCCAAGTGAGAGTCTTCCCCAGCCCTACCAGGAGACACTGTCGCAGCTCGAACCCAGAACCTTCCGCATGCAAAGGGGGGCTCTGTCCACCGAGCCACAAAACACCTTTCAACCCCCCCTGGCTGCGCCATCAGACTGTGTGTCCCAGCATCCTGCTTCCAACAAAGGACAGCCACTGCACGTCTGAGGGCGTCACAGGCCGGGCCTTGTCGTCTGCCTCCTGCCCCGTTGCTCAGGGCATGGACGCTCTCATGCCAAAGGGCCATCGCTCCTCTGGCATGTGGATCATTGTCTCCAGGCTTTGGGGGAAGATGCTGAGCAAGCAGGCGGAGGGAGGCGCCTGTGGCCGCCAGCAAGACGCCTCTGCCCATGAACCTCTTTCCTGCATGCCCTGCTGGCCAGGCTAAGACGGCCTTTTGCCATCAAGCGCATCTTTCTGCAGGAGCCACGGCCGGGCGAGAAGGGGCATGGCCACGGTCAGGCATGGCGCGGAGCAGGCTGGGGGAAAGGGCCTCCTTCCCTCCCTCCCGCCCTGCTGACGGAGCTGTCCTGCGGGCTGCACGCCGGGAGATCTGCGCCAGTGGGCGGAGGGCTGCTCCTCACGGCACGGAGGGCTGCCAGAAGACCGCAGGGCGGCCGCCGACCGGGTCCGGGCTCAGGCAGGTGCCTGGAGGCAGCGGCCTGCCATGGCTGGCTAGCCCTGATGGCTACGCGCTTCGTCCGGGGCCGGGGGCGTCTTGCGCAGCTGCAGAGGAACATGAGCAGCAGGGAGCATTGCCCCTTGAGGGCGGCTGGGGCCAGTGGTGGCAGGAAGCGGGGCTCTGCAGGCTCCATCGCACGAGCTACGAAACCAGCGCCTTCCCGTTCTTGGACAGCCGCAGCGGCAGCATCCTCCGACGGGCCATACGCTGGAAAGAAACTCCTCAAGGGGCTTGGCGAGGGCAGAGCTGTCCCTGCCCGGCCGCACGCTCGCTTCCAGGATGCAGTTTGTCCGCCCGTGGGCCCAGAACTTCCCCTTTGGTCAATGCTGCCCAGCAGAGGACGGAGGCTGCTGGCGGCGGGCAGCGGCGTACGGCAAAACGTGGGACACTGGCACACAGCCGCTGCCCGCTCAGCTGCGGAGCTCCTGGGGGGACTTCGGCCCAGTCAGTGGCGCTCAGGAGAAGGCTTAGAGGAGGAGGAGAACCGTGCAAGCTGCCCTGAGCCACCGGAAAGGGGAAAAAGACGGGACGAAAGAACGGCAACCGAAGGCCACCTTCGCCGAAGAGTACGGCTTTCACCCCCTCCAGCTTTTGTGCTGGCCGGGCAGCCGGGAGCTGCCAAACTCCGCCAACATGCTGGCAGCCAAAGCCCTCTGCTCCGAGGCCAGCTGGAAGCGATTCTGTTCTCCACGACACCCACCCCTGCACCGGGCTCTCCTTTCCCCACCACCCAAGCCAGGCGATGCCGATTCTGTCAAAGCAGCACGGGGTATTTTGTCTGTGGCCAAGACAAGCCAGCCAAAGGCACACGCACCCGTCCCTGGGACCCTTTGGAAGGACGTGTCGGTGACTCGGGGAGGGCGCGCCTGCCTTCTGCCGTGCACTCTGTGTTCGAAGCAGGCTCGCTGCAAAGGAGCTTTCCTGTGCCACACCACAGGCCCATAAGCTGACCTTTCTCCCCACTTTCAGCAGAAAGAAGACCAGACCACTAGCTAGAACTTCACTGTATGGAAGCACTCTATCCGAGACTATTGGACAAAATACAAAAACGAGTCGGAAACAAGGAAAGAGCACGGCCTGCGGGCATGGCTTGGGAGCTGCGGCTCTGCAGCCCCTCCCAAGCCGGCATTCTCTTCCACGCCTCAGCCATGGGGCCTGGACGGGAGGGGGGCACCCAGCAAAGGCACGATGCGGCCAGCAGGGCCGCTCTCAGTTGAACGCGGGCCTCACCCGGTTATGGAGCAGGGCCCTCCCGAAGACAGCCACAGCAGCTCTGGGGGTCAGGGGCCTCGTCCAGGGTCTGTGGCTGCCTTCGTGCCTCCGAAGGCACCCTGCTGGAGGCGGAGGACTGGGCTCTTCGGTCCACCCTGATCTAGCTCAGCTGCTCCCTCACTCAGTCTTCCAGTCAAAGAACAGCACAAACCCAGGTGAAGACTTAGCAACATAGAAACAGAGCAACGAGTGAGCCTGACGGGTCTCCGGGTCATCTAGTCTGACCCCCGGCTCCACCAGGCTCCGCTCAGGACACGCCCACTGACTTACTTGGCTCCTTTGATCAAGAAGTGGCTGCGTCGGAGTTCCATGGCTAGCACGGTGGCTGAGGCTTCCTCCTGGCCCCTGGTCGGCAGGGGGCCCCTCCGGAGCAGCCGAAGTCCCTCTCTTCCCTGCCTCCTCAGGGCAGCCCGCGACATGGCCCGGGCCCCAAGGCAAAAGTGTGGGTCTTCCGGCTGCCCTCCAGCCCCGCAGGCACCCGGGGCGGAACTGGCGGAGCTGGGGAGAAGCGCCCCGGCGGCCTCCCTCTCAGCAGGCTCCATGACTCAGCTGCAGGGGCCGGCAGGAAGCCGCTCCGTAATCGCGGCTGGACAGCCGTTCCTCCGTGCACAGCGCCGCTGCCCTCCGGCCGACTCCGTCCCTGGAGCTGCACCCACGGCAGCCGGTGCCTGCGCCAGCCGAGCGACCGGAAGGCATGCCGCTCTCGGCGTGCGCCGCGCCCCTGTGCCTCTCAGGGCATCTCCCGCTGTGCCGGCAGATGTGCTGCTCCTCCACCGCTTCTCCGGCCATCCAACCAGGCCCGGAGTTGCCTGCACACTGCGGGGTGCGCGGCTGAAAGAGCCGCTGCCCCCGCCCTGAGCCGGTCTCTTCCTGGCCGCCTCCGCGTGGGGGTGAGAGGCGCTGCCCCGCTTCCTGGCGGCCGATGGGCCTACACGGGGCCGCCCCCCACCAAGCTGGGTGCTCACGGACAGCCTGGCCCAGCGGCCCTCCGGCGAGCGGCCGGGGAGGCCAGCTCCGTGCCTGCCGGCTGCCCCACTGCTCTCGCGGCCAGCGGGCCCCAGACGGGATGTGCCTAAAGAGGAAGTGGGGGCGGGGCGGGGAGAGCCGAAGGGGCGTGGAGGGCTGGGCTCGGGGAGGCCGGGGGCGATGGTGCGGGGCGGGCTCTCCCTTTGCTCGGCCGCAACAGGGGCAGGGGGCTGGGGGGCGCTTCCTGCCCCTGTCACGTGCGGCCCCCTCTCAACTGCTCCAGCAGCCCACGGCATGCTCCCCAGCGTGAGTTCGCTCCGGCTGCCGCTTCAGGAGAAAGCTTGGCAAGCTCCTCTCCAAAGCGATGCAGCTTCTGTTCCCCAAGCCCTGCACCTTTCCCTGCCTGGAAGAGCCTCCGGGACCAGAAGGCCTGGGCCTGATCCTGCCTTGAAAGCAGACGCAGGCTGGGGGGCAGACATGGCAGCTGCCCGGCTCTTGCGCTCCGGGTTGGGCCGTTGGGCTGGCAGCACATTCCTGGGTGCGTCGCCTGCATTTTCGCCACATGGCTGGAAAACGCCCCGGGCCCAGGAGACAGAACTGGGCCACCCTCTTTCCTGGGGAAGCTCTGGCACTTCGGCCCTGTGCTGCTGAACGTGCGGCAGCTGCAGGAACCCCGCTGGCTGGCCTGGGGTGCATCCGGCCAGTAAACTGCCTGCACACCACCGAGATGGCAATGCAGACGAAGGCGGGTTATCCCAGCTCGGAGAAAAGCTGCTGGCAACTCCAGCCAGCCTGGAGACGGTTGGGGATGCTGGGAGTTGCAGTCCAAGACATCTGCAGGGCACCAGATTGGGTGAGACTGGGTGCAACTGTGCCATCCAGAATAGAAAGGGACAAGAAACTGGCCAAGACATACCAATGGCCACGAATGCCAGAGAGGTGTGAGGGGGGCTTAGACACTCCCGGAGAGGAAGGGGCCTCTGCAGGACATCCGGTGCCACGGCGGAGGAGGACTGCTGCGCTCTGGCCTGGCTCAGGGGGTTCCGAGAGGCCACTTTTCGGCCACCAGCGAATCCGGATGCAGCTCTAGATGGGCCTTCAGAACGCTCCTGGCCGCCTCCCTGATGTCCTTATTGTACGCTGTTTCGCTCCCATCCTACCTTGCCTCGGGGTGGAGGGCTCCTCCTTTGCCAGCTGAACAGTGACTGAGGCTTGTCTCCACGGGTCGGCGGATGGCAACCAAGGACCAGGCCTTCCCCGTGGTGACCCCTCCACCAACCGTGGAACAGTCTTCTCAGAGAAGCCTGCCTGGCACTGGCATTTGGATTGTTTTGCACCAGGTGAAGAACCTCTCCTCCTCCCAGATCTTCGAGGGCATGACAGTGGGCTTCTTCAGAAGTCCTACAATTCTTGTATTATATTGTACTGTATTGTTGTATTAATTGTATTGCCGTGAGCTTGCCTCTAAATCTTGCTTGCTAATGGTTGTATACCTAGTTTTATCTTTCGGTGTTTTGTCTTGCAAACTGCTTAGAAAGATCTAGCTGCTGCTTAAGACAGAAACCTAATAAACGCAATGCAACGGTGCAATAATTTCCTGCCGCACATTCCGGTCGCGCAACCGCCCAGAGAGTGCCTACCTGAAGCAGTCTGCGTGCCAGTCGGCATTCAGGGCTTGCAGATATTGCCCGTCGTAGATGGCGTGGCTGCAACTTGCACATACTGGCAGGTCACTTCCTGGAGGGTGAAGAAGACGTGGGGGTCACCATCACATCTGGGGGGGGGCCATGCTGCAGTGCTGCCCCGCACGCTGCCAGGCCTCCAGAGAGAGCACAGCTGCACACGACCTTCTTTCCTTGCATGGCTCTCCCCACCCCACCCCTCTTAGCCCACTGCCAAGGCTTTTTTTTTTTCATCCATTGCTTGCCCAAATGTAGCCCTGAAGCCTAATGAGAGGCAGGGTATCTCTGGGAATGTGCAGAGCAATTTCTCCCCCCAAGCAGGCACTCTGACCAGAACCTGCACACCGAGGATGACCGAGGGGGGTGGAGTGGAAGCCGGGCCTCAGAGAGGGAGCAGTGGCCGTCCTCGAACAGGGAAAGGGGTGGTGGGGCAGGAATATCCCCAGCTTCTATGGGGCACAAAAGGAACAGGTGCCCACGAGAAGGTGCAGAGCAGCCTTCCCTGGGTATTTTGCACCCAGGTGCCCAGAAACTGGTCACACATGGAAAGGGTGATCAAAGCTGGTGGCAATAAATTGATCTGCTTATATAACAGCAGAGTTGGCCCAGTTCCACCAGGGGAGGGAAGTGACGGGGAAGTGTGGGGCTGCTGCAGGCGGCGGTCAGTGAGGCCAAGGCTGGCAAGTTCCTGCACACACAAGGGTTCCACGTGCCCACCCAAGCCTGTTTCAGTCCTGAAGCTCTTGAAACAATCACCCAGGAGAGAGGGTGCTTGGAGCATGTGCCGAGTGCTTTTCTCATGCTGAGTAGTAAAAACGGCATGCCCCCACCCCTGTTCTCATTGGCCCCAGATTCCCCACCTGCCACTGGTGCTTGGGACCAGAGGGACCGGAAGCAGGCAGCTCAGGGAGGGGGTGTTGGGGAACAGCTGGTCCCTGTTCTGAACTGATGAGCGCCGTGGGTTTAAGCCGAACAGTTCTAGCGGGAAAAGTTCTATTGCAAGGAAACTTCAAAATGCAGTTTGTCATAATAAACCATGGAAACCAAACGCTCAACAATGCTGTTACTTCAAGGCTTTTGCTAAAAATATGCTCGGGGGGGCGGGGGGGGGTCGCAGAGGGATAGCACTGCCCGTACCCCGAGCTTGCCCAACCCCAGCTTGCACGGCGGCTGCGCAAGGGATGCGCCGCTTGCTGGTTTTCGGGAAAGGCTGCAAGAGAGGTCAGGACCTTGGACAGCGCACACGGATCGGGCCCGGCGCGCTGGGGGGCGGCTGGGTGGTCGCTCGTCACGCCTACGAGCTGGAAGCCTGGAGAGTTGGCAGGCCGAGGGGGGAGCTAATGTACTCTGCACGAGCTCAGAGGCACCACTCTTGTCTTTACGTCTCCCAGGGTCGGGCGGGGGGGGCGCTCCTAACACAGTGGGTCTGGAGGGCCTGGGTGCAAGCGAAGTGGGCGAGATGGCGGGCAAGGAAGAAGAGGGCGCCCCGGGGCTTCTTCCGACGGGCCAGGGGCACAAGAAAGCCCCTCTGTTTTAGGAGCGCCCCCCGCCGGGGGAGGGGCGCGCTGGGAGCCCGCGGCGCACGTGTGCACCAGGGTTTACGCGCAATGCAGCGCGAGCCGGGGAGGTGGCGCGGGTGTTCAAGGTCATGCACGCGAAAGAGGGGCAGGCGCTCGGGGGGAGCCGTCCCCGCAGAGGCCCCTGCCCAGGACGCAGGCCCGAGGCCGGCGAGGGGCGCAGCGCGCGTGCGGCGGGTCCCACCTTCGTCCTCTCCCATGGGCTCGTCCCTCCAGGTGCAGCAAAGCAGCATCAACCTCATGCAGCCGCCCCCGCCTGGCCCCCTCGGGCAGCAGCAGCAGCGGCGGCGGCTCTTCCTGCGGAGGGGGCAGGGCGGGCGGACCGACGGCGCCGGCTGCGGACTCGCCCGGGCCGACTGCGCGGTAGCCCTGGGAAAAAAGACGGGGCGGGGGGAGCGCGGGAGGCGGGTCCACAGCGCGGCCAGCCAGCCAGCCAGCCGAGCCCCCTCCTCCGGAGGCTGCAGCGTGCGCGGCAGGGCCCGGCCCGGCCCGGCCCCTCCCCTCTCGCCCGCACCGGCGGGGCGGGGGCGCTGGGTCCCGGCGCGCCGCCAGCCGCGCGCGCAGCCCCTCCCCTCCCCTCCCCTCCCGCCTGGCGCCCCGCGCGTGTGCGGCCTGCCCGGGGGGTGCGCCGCGGCGGGGCGGGGGCATG